TTTTTTTTTTTTTTTTTTTTTGAATTTCGACCGTTGAACCCGGAACCCGGCCCGGCCCGCCGGGTCCAACGGTCGGCCCTGTTAAATTTTTATTTTTTTTGAATTCTGAGTCTTGAACCCGTAACCCGGCCCGACCCTCCGGGTCCAACGGTCGGCCCGGCCCGGACCGGGGCCCGGCCCGCCGGGTTTTTTTTTTGACCGAAAAGGCCCGGGACCGGCCCTTTAGATGTCCGGTTCCGGTTTGAAAACCGGCTTCTCCGGGCCGGGTCCGGTTCGGGCCGGGCCGGTTCGGCGGGCCGGTTCGACCCGTGGACATGTCTAGTTTCAAATAATCTAAATGCCTCAGGTTTTTGTAAGAGTTTTTAAAATCTCAAATGAATATCTCAAAACTTTTAAAAGTCTTACAAAATTTTAACAAATATAAATTAAATACACCAGACTTCCTAAAATCTTTGGAAATTTTAGTTAAATACACTCTCGATTTTACAACTTTAGCAATAAACAAGAAAATTAAGTGAACTAAAAAAAAAATATTCCACTGAAATGAAATCATTAATAAGGGCATCCACATTGGTCCGTTAATGCACCTCATTTAAATGCTTTTGTCCCCATTCAAGCAATGAAATCATTCATTAATGGTTGGAGCCTTTATTATCGTTCAATGTTGTTAACGGCTCTTTTGAGCCTTTTTTTATTTTTTTATTTTTTTTTTGCAGTTGCTTTTGTTTTTTTCTTATTTATATCTTTTATCCTCATTTTTTTTTCCTATAAATACACTTAATTTTTACACTTCTACTACACAAAAAATTTAGCAGTTGCTCATTTCTGAAAAAGGATCCCAATAATAGGCAAAACTTTCAAAATTTCTTAAGTTCTAATCCTACCAATCCTTATGAATTTTCATACTTTCAAAATTCACAAACTCCGCCAAATTTATCATTTTCACAAGCTCCTTATCCTGCATAATGTTTTTCACAATTCCCATCAAATTTTCCTTTTATGCAACAATCCCAAAATTATCCAATGTCTGGCAATATTCAATATTCCCAATATCCTCCACAAGCTTTATTTTAAAAACCACCGCTTGAATATTGGCAGTACATAAGTAGTCAAAATCTGACGCAATCTTATCCGCAACAATCGAGTCAATCTTCCGGATCTCAAATGAGGAAAGAAGTCGATACTTAAACTTACGTTCCGGAAACACAATTGCAGGATCGTGAAGCAGCCATAAATGTTGAAATGCTAAGAAACACACGTGTTGCTGCTGAGGGCCTGAAAAAACGTCCACAATGGACAATGAAAGAGGACGTGCTATTGGCAAAGGCTTATGTGACGATAAGTGACGATCCAATTACCGGTAATGATCAGAAGGCCGAAGCGTTTTGGGTACGTGTTGCAAAATATTATAATGAAAATACATATTCTGATTATATTTATAGAGATTTTAATACAATAAGATCTCACTGGCATAATACAATTCAAAAAAAAGGTGTATCGATTCAATGACTGCTATAACAGTATTTACTGTGTGTATCGAAGTGGTTGTAGTGATGATGATATATTAAGTCAAGCTTACGAAAAATATCGTAGTGAGAGTAATGGTGTAGCCTTCAATCTTGAGCATGTGTGGAGAATCCTAAAAGATCGTCCTATGTTCACTCCATCATCTTCTAATGATATTTATGTTGAGAGAAAAAAATGAGGATTGATGAGTCTGCTGCCAGCAACGCTTCATCAAAGGGAGATGCGAGCATTGATCTAGATGAATTTCATGAAGTGGCTCGTCCAATCGGACAGAAGGCAGCTAAACGAAAGGCCAAGTGCAAAGGAAACTCTAACCTTGATGAGATGACCGCAGAATACAACAACATGATTAAGCATCTTGCTGAGTTAACAAGCTTGAAAAAAGCTGAAGTTGAAGTTAAAAAAGCAACTTTTGAGGAAAAAAAGCAGATGAGTCGTTGAAAAGACTATGATATTTTAACGAGGGACACAAGGCACATGACCCAAGAGCAACGTATTTCTCATGAGAAAATGTGTGAAGTAATTCGAGAGAAATGGAACCTTTTAGACTTTGCATTATCTATTTTAATTATCCTTGTAATTCTGTACGTTGTGATTTGCAAAATTGAACTTTTAGCTTGTATTTCATTTAAGTTGTTCTTGTTATTATTCTTGTGTAATCTTAATTTAAGTTATTTTGGTCTTGTAGTGTTCTTTTGTTTTCATGCATTTAAAATTTATTATTATAATTTAAAAATATTAAATTTTTCTTTTTATTGAGAATAGAATATTAAAATTTATATTGAATGAATGAATATAATGGGTCTTATATTTGTACTCAAATGAATGTGTAGGGATGTGTGTATTTAAATGGAGAGAGAATTAGTGAAAATATGTTGTGGAGATGATGTGAACGCCAGAGAGAGTGTAACTTTTTGAACGAATGAATGAAANAAATGGATGTTTTAATAAAACCTAAAACCACGGGTTTAACGCCTCCAACTTCCCGTTTTCAAGTGGCCCCAAACAATGATTTTTCGGATTTTGAAAATAATAATCGCAACATTGAGAAACCCCATGAAGATGTTGCACCGCTCGAAACTTCTACATTCTTAAGTTCTTCTTCCTTCTTTTTTCCAGCCCAATAAATTTTGCAGCAACATTTCTCCCTTTGCACAGCGCTTTGAAATCACTGTTTCATTTCGAGGGTAAAGAAAAGGTTGAACTCAGCAATTGAATTTTTTTATTCGACATGGCTGTAGAGGCTGCAGACGCCGCCACCCCACGATTGGCACTTGAGGATACTGAGATCAACTGGGACAGGTTATCCATTGCTCGCAAACCTTAAATGTCGCTTGCGTGACCTTCAATTTATTTCAATTTTTTATTTGTTTATAGTTAATATTGGTGTTGTTTTACCGCCTCTGGTGATTGCTGTGTTTGTGAAAAAGGGATATACAGTTAATTTTTGAAGGAAATTTACGTTATTTTTTTGTTATTTATTTTTTTTAATTCTTATCTGGTTCGAAGTGATTGTGTTTTGGCGAGCGCTCGTTTGTGTACCAAGTCTCTGTTTTCTGAGAGTATCTGTATGTGCAATGGTAATTATTAAAGTTGAACTGTAATGGAAATAGTAATAAGTAATAACTATCATATGAAAGTTTTTCTTTTTTGACATGGGCTTGTTAAAAAGAACCAGCATTTAGCTTGTAAAAATCAGGTTGTTTTTGTTCTGTCAAGTTGTTCCCTGGTGGTGGTGGTTGTGTTCCATTGCAGATATTTAGAAAGATGTAATCTTTACATAATGATTATTTTAATTGAATTTGGAAAGTATCGCCAATGAACCACTAGTAAAGACGGCCAACTCCTGTAATTGGAGATAGGAAGTTGCCTCTATGGATCAAATCCAAAGTTGCTCATTAAATGTTAGCATTCTTTGTTAATAGGACTGTATGTTTTGCCAGAAGTTTAAGGGTCGGCTGAAAAATATATGATGAATTGACTACTTATGTAATCCAGAGATGTAAAACCCATTTCAAGTTAGATTTGGTGATATACTAGAATAATTTCTAGCACTATTTATGTTTCTCTATAAAAATTTTTGCCCTTGCTTATGATTGCACAGGGAGAATTACGCAACTTATTCCTGAAAATCCTAGTTTTCCTGTTGATTTTGTGTGCTTCCACAACTGCAGGTTGGATAAGACGAGATTTCATGTCATTGGAGCTATTCTCTTCACTGTCCAGTCAGCATTAATACACCCTACAGCAGTTGTGAAAACGAGAATGCAAGTAGCAGGATCGGGAATCTCCCAAAGTGGGTTATCTGTTTTCAGATACATTATTCGAAATGACGGTTTTCCCGGTATTTTTAGAGGCTTTGGCACATCGGCTATTGGATCATTGCCTGGTCGAGTTCTGGCTTTGACTTCACTTGAGATGTCAAAGGATATGACTCTCAAATATACAGAAGGTCTGAATATGCCTGAAGCAACACGAATTGGCTTTGCTAATGGAGTTGCTGGGATGGTTTCCAATTTAGTTTCCTGTGTGTACTTTGTTCCTTTGGATGTGGTGGGTATTCTTGTCATTTTACATCGTGATAGTTTTAACTCTTCCACATTTTCTTCAAGTTATTAAAACATAAGCTGAAGGGCTATCATATAAAGATGATAGTGTTTCTTTTGAACTGTAGTTACTTCATTAATCGATAGTTTTTGCAGGCTGGCTGTGGTTATATGCACAATTTTGAAAAATTTCTTACTAAATTGTGATTGGATACAAAAAATTTTAAAAACTACACCTACTTGTTCTCTGTTGACACTTTCTTCAGAAAAAGAATTTTCACTACACAATGTCCTATAAAATTCACCATTCGTCCACCCAGATATTTTTAAATGGTATATACCAGCTATGTTTAATCATCGTTCTTTTATCTTTATATATATATATATATATCAATTTTAATCGTGACATTTCTATCTTGTTTCCATTCATAGATCCATAAAACTACCAATATCCTCCCATAATTTCCCATCAATTCTGTTGTAGAAAGAAAATTTTCCATCACAAGTGGAAAGTAAACACTAAAACGATTGTATATCCAATCACATGCACTGACCTCTCTCCTAGTTTGTGTAATATCAAGTTCTTATTCTATTTTTGTAATTTATTTCACTTGTAAGTTGTAACAAACCATATTCTCTATAATTTACTTCATTTGTAGATATGCCAGAGGCTAATGGTTCAGGGACTTCCTGGAACGACATCTTGCAGTGGTCCATTAGATGTTGCACGGAATGTGATAAAGGCCGAAGGTATTCGTGGCATGTTTAGAGGTTTTGGACTGACAGCTGTCACCCAATCTCCCGCATCCGCACTTTGGTGGGGTGCTTATGGTGCCGCTCAACACATCATGTGGAGGTAAACTTATTTGAAATTTTGCCCACAAGAGCTAAAGATATAATTCATTAATTGAAAGAGTGATTATATGTTCGTAAAAGTGAAACCGGAAACCAAAAGAAAATCTAAAGCACCTATTTGATCTTAAACATAATCATATCTCAGCACTTGTAACTTTTCTCCTTTTTTCCTTAAAAAAAAAAAAAGAATTATTTGATTGCATGTAATCATGAACGTCTGATAATATCCTTTTGTATATCTTTTACTTGATCTGGCTTTTTTCTGATAATAAGTTCCAATTTATGACATTATTAGGAGTTTGGGGTACAGAGATGATTTGGAAAAAAAACCTTCACATGTGGAATTGATTGGCGTTCAAGCCACAGCAGGAATGGTGGCTGGTGCCTGTTCTTCAGTAATCACTACCCCTATAGATACTGTCAAGACTCGACTTCAGGTGATGAAATTCCAAACGAAAATAAAAATTTACAAATTATTAGAAAAGATGAAAACTTGAGTTGATGTTGGTATTTTGGTTCGTAATTCACACAGGTTATTGATGATTATGGTGTAGGAAGACCTTCCGTGATGAAGACAACAAAGGCTCTTCTTAAGGAGGAAGGGTGGAAAGGTTTCTACCGTGGGTTTGGCCCTCGTTTTTTAAACATGTCCTTTTACGGAACTACAATGATCGTGACTTATGAACTAATAAGTACGTTTTTAATAGTAATTAATGCCATTTTGTTTTTATCATAGCCAGTCGAACCAATACTTTTAGTATTTGGTAACTAACTTTTATGGTCTATGTTTTTCAGAGAGGTTGTCTTTAAAGCAAGGGTGATTAGCTCGTGAATTTTTGTTTCTGTGAGGACTCAGACTCGGAATTTTTGTCTAATTTTAGCAACTTATGTTAATCGGCAATTTTTTTCTGCTATGCGGTCAGAGGCAGCACAGTAAAGGCTCTATTGAATAGTGAAACTGGGAAAAGGTTGCAATGGGAAGGGACTTTGTTTATTATTGATTCTCTGTTTTACTAATTGAAGGAAAAAAAAAGAGGCAGCATGTCTTATTATTCTTTTTTTAACGTTGTATTTTATGCAGAGACAGAATTATCACTTAGAACAGCTCATGCAACAAGTGTAGTACATATAAATCAGTAAATTGTGCTATAGCTTCTTTATTTTTTGTTTTTCTTGGTCCAAGATTTACATTTTAGTTCGTCTCCGAGTGGTGTGCGATGGATTTTTATTTTTGAATTTTTGGTGAGGTATATCTTATGTGATATTGCCTTACTGAAAATCTGTACGAGTGATTGGATATAATTTTTTTTATTTGATTTATTGAATAAAGATAGTTAATTTTGAATAAAGTTGATTGATTAAATAATTGAATATTTTGAGTTAAGATTTAAATAATATTTATAATATAATAATTAAAATTGATGTGATGTAAAAAAACGAGGGAAGTGTGTCGGAACAATTTATTGATATTATTAATAATATTGATGAGTTAGGTTAAATTTTGAGTTAAAATGTATAAAAAGAAAAGNGTAGCCAGTAAAATTCAAGAAAAGGTTATCATAAAACATCTTTGTTTGTAGCCAAAAAAAATTCAAAAAAAGGTTATCATAAAAATTCTTTTGTTGTATAAGTATTCAATAAAAATATAAAAGTTGAAAAAGGAATTATTTTTTCAAAGAGGTTTGCAAAATTATTATTTTTAAATCAAATTAATTTTAGTCGTTAAAATCGGTTTTATGCAAAATACTTCACATAAAAAATGTTACCTTGATATATTTTTATTTACTTTAATATGATATGATTGTTGACATCCGAGTTCGCCTTCAAAGGGAAACGGACAAAAGGTCACTCCAAAAGCCGGACCGGAAACTCGGTTCGGTGTGCAAGTGCCGAGCTGAATTCCAAATTTAATTGATCATGACATCTCCATAGGTCCATTCCCTAGCCCGGTATATGTGTCATTCAAACACCGGTGCCGACCTCGAATAGGTGGCGGGCTGAAGGAAGGTTCCGGAGGTCCAGAAGAGTAAGATGAGTTTAGGAGTCGACCTGAAGCTTCAGAGCGGTTGCCCCAGAGACTGGCGCTGTGTCCGATAGTAATTAATAATGCCACTTGGAGAGTAATCATTGGCGATTGGACAGGGCGTCGTAGCCTGCGGGTCTACGCCCACTAGCCAAGACATAAAGCCTGCCAGCATTAAATGACCTCCATGTGTGCATTAAATGCCCGACAGGCAATGATTAGGAAAACCTCAAATCGCATTAAATATCTGTCAGGGAGAAGCCGGACTTCTCTGCAAGAACACTGTACGACAAGATCGGTGAACAGTAACTTAACAGTGCCACATTTAAGAGCACTATAAATAGCAGCTCCCTCATTTATTTCTGGGTTGTTGAATCCCCAACTAGCAAACTCTCTCTTTACTTTCTTTCTCTAAATTTGTACTAAGCCTTCATAAGAATTGTAAGGATATCACAAGTGCCGACCTCGTACGAGAGGCCGACCCAGTGATCTGATAATAAAATCGTAGTGGAATCGTATCTCTTTGTCATTTTCTTGTCCCATATTCCTGTTATTTGTTTCTTTAACCGTTGACCGGAAACGTCCATCAACAGTTTGGCGTTAGAAGGAGGGCCCCATAAGTTACTTGGTGTCAATTGTTCGAACTTGTGGAACATCACACTGCACTCATCTTTTTTCCCACTTTTAACTTCCAAAAACCACTCGAAATGGCTTCATCAGGTCACAACGAGTCCACCCAGCAGTCCGACGCCCAGTCTCGCCGGTGCAACGGCGGAGAAACTTCCCGCCGCGCCCAGCAGGGGCCTCTAGTCCCTGTCCCGCCAGTTCCCACTTTCGCTGCGGCCATGCAGCATCCCGACGTCCTCAAAGCTCTCGAGGGGGTCTTCTCGAAGGCGTTCGCGAGCCAGGTGGCAGGGGGATACACCGTGGTGCCCACGAAAAACTCCGGCAACACTTTGCTCCAGACCCCCGACAAGGGGGCCGGGGGGCAAAAAAAAAACTCGGCGAAATTCAAAACCACGGCTCAGTCACCTAACCTCGAGGCCCGGAATCGCCGTGATAAAAGCACCAGACCGGTGCCCACCGAGCAGACGGGTGAGAGCCATCTGGAGAAAAGCCTTCAAATCATTGGCCGCTCCATTTACCAACGCCTAGGTGACAAGAGCCAGGTCAACCGTGACCTCAAGGAGGTCATTGAATGGGGAAAAGCTGTGGGACGCGACACTGACGAAGTCGCGGCCCTTAAGCGCAGGATTGCCGATCTGGAGGGTCGGCGCCCCTCTAGGAGTGAGCTGTCACTTCCACCCTATCCACAATCGACCCCCCGGATCGTGGATCACGCTTCGCCTCTATCTCCTGACATTTTACGGGAACCTACGCCAAAGAAAATCAAGCTTCCACAGCTCAGCCTTTACGACGGGAGCTCGGACCCAGATTCCCACCTCGGCCTCTACACCTCATGGATGGACCTGCAAGGCGCCACGGATGCCCTGCGCTGCCGCATGTTCTCCCTAAAGCTAGGACCAAAGGCGCAGAGGTGGTATTCCATTTCCACCTGGGGGCAGCTCAGGTCGGCTTTCCGATCACACTTCATCGGATCGCAGATCAACCTTGCTCTCAAGGAGTCCATTGCCAACATCGTCCAGGGCGAGGACGAAACCTTGAAAGACTACATCACACGGTTTAACGACCGAGTCCAAAACATGGAGCGGTGCCACCCTGATGCGGTACTGATCACCGCTCAGGGCGGTCTGCGACCAAAAACGCTATTCAAGTGGTCCTTGTGTCATAACAAACCGACCACTTACCAAGAATTTCTCTCCCGAGCCCAGGATTACATCATGGCGGTGGAGTCCTCGTCGATCCCAATGTTTGACGCCGCACCGGCAATTGGCAAGGCGAAGGAAGAAAAGCCCGGGAAACCGAGCAAGTTGTTTGCCGAGGTCCGCGCCCTGCGGAAACAGAGAGCCGAAGAGCTGAAGGAAAGTTATCAGAGCGCCTTTTCAGTAGGTGCACCGCAGTTTATGAAGAAATCAAGGCGAAGGGGCAACTGCCGGACCGAAAGCCGATGTTCACCGACAAAGACAAAGTGGACAAGTCCCGCTACTGCATCTATCACAAGGCGCATGGGCACAACACCGACCAGTGCCGTAACTTGATCTCGGCACTGGTCAAACTGATAGATGACCCGCAGTTCAAGAGGTTCACCCACTCTAGTGAAAAGAGAAAGAAGGGAGGCCGCTTTGAGGAAGGCCTCGACAGTGACAACGACGCCGACGTGAACCCTCGTAGGAAGAAACAACAGCAGGGCGGCCCCCATGAGATCATGACTTTCTGTACCGCCCCCCAAGACGAGGCCGGCACCTCAAGGGGCAGAAAGAGAGATCGGTCCCCGCCGCCAGGGGACGACCACACTGACTGCCCAACTCGGCGCGTTAACACAAGCCGAGGCGAGTCCTCCCTTTCCAGGAGGCAGACCAAGGCCTATGCCCGGCAGGCCTATTACGCCGGTCAGAGGGTGATGAACACCAACAGCAGGCCGGCACCGGAACAGACCCCAAACAAAATCTCCTTTGATGATGAGAACGTCTTTCTGTTCGACCACCCCCACTCCGACTCACTGGTGATCACGGCGCCGATAATGGCCATCAAGATCCACCGCATCATAGTTGACACTGGGGCCTACGCGAGCATTCTCTACTATGATACCTTCAAAAAGATGGGGATCACCAAGAAAGAGGTGCAGCCCTGTCGCGAGCGAATCCAGGGCTTCAACGGGCAAACAACGGCCCCCGTCGGCCAAGTCACACTGCCAATCCGGTTTGGAGAGAAGGGGCAGCCCACGAAAACGATTCTGGAAACTTTCAAAATCGTGGACTGCCCAAGCGAGTATAACGCCATCCTGGGCAGGACGGCCCTATACAAGCTGAAGGGCGTCGTCTCTATATTCCACTACTCCCTTAAGCTTCCGACCTTAGACGGAGAGGGAACCCATCGCGGGGACCAGAGGGAGGCGCGGGAGTGCGTCCTGACCATCCCACGCACGAAGATAAATGCAGCGGACCCTCTCGCCGACGCCGAGGCGAGAGAGGCCGAGCTGGGAGATTCTCCAAAGCCGGCACGCGATGGTCCGGGGGGAAACCGCATACTGGAAAGCCAGGTAGGTTTGCACCCCTTGAACGCGTTGAGTGTCGGCCCCGCTAACACAGGATTCGAAACGGAGATGTACGACCCGACCCCTGATACCGGGATGGATAACCCCAACCGGGGGGACGACCGCATGCTGGGAAACTAGATAAGTCCGCTCTCCTCGGTTGGTGATAACGCCAGCCGGGCCGAAGAAGAGTCCGGGGCCGACCTGGACCTGGACAGAGGAAGAAGGGCCGGCAAAGAGCCGGTCACCGAAGAAGATGAGCTCGACCCCCGAACCCAGTATGAAGAGAAACAGGGGACAAAGAGGGCCGAGCCCATGGACGACATTGAAATCATCTTCATTGACGAGGAGACTTGTCAGAAGCAACTCCGGATCGGAAGCAAGTTGCCGGAGCCGCTAAAAGCCCAGCTGACTAAATTCCTCCGGGAAAACGCAGACGTCTTCGCGTTGACCCATGAAGACATGGTCGGCATCGACCCACGGGTCGCCTGCCATCGGCTGCAGGTCAACCCCACAGTCAAGTCGGTGGTGCAAAAAAAGAAGGAAGCTCAGCCCAGACCGACAACAAGCCGTAGAAGAAGAGTTGATCAAGCTCAAAGATAACGAATACATTCGCGAGGTCCGGTATCCGACCTGGGTAGCCAACCCGGTACTCGTGAAGAAAAGCAGCGGGGCATGGCGCCTATGCATCGAATTCTCCAATTTAAACAAGACATGCCCTAAAGATAGCTACCCCCTTCCCCACATCGATTACATGGTCGACGCCACCTCGAAGCACGAGCTGATGAGCTTTATGGATGCATACTCCGGCTACAATCAGATCCCCATGCACCTGAATGACGAAGAACATACCTCCTTCTACTCGGCGCGCGGGCTCTACTGCTACACAATGATGCCATTAGGGCTGAAGAATGCCGGGGCCACCTACCAGCGCTTAGTCAACAAAATGTTTGCTAGTTTGATAGGTGCATGTATGGAAGTGTATGTAGACGATATGCTAGTTAAGTCCGTGTACTCATCCGACCATGTAAATGATCTTAATAAAATGTTTTCCATTTTGCGTGATTATTC